AAAAGTGTTTTTGCCCATATAAAATACTTGGAAAACTTTAGGGGATTTCTGGCTATTTTTTTAACAAAGCAAAATAGGGTATTTTTTCCATTTAAATAAAATTAGGTAGGGTGAGAGCTTAACATTTTAACCTTTTTTTACCACCCTAATATACATACATATGCATACGCAAGCATAGGCGAAGCAGGACGATTTATCAAGGCTACCATTTAGAACCATTTTTATTTTATTAAGCCTTAGTATTTTGAGCGATGCATTAGTATAAATTTATGCAAAGAGCGCCGTTGAGCATCGGACAAGCAAGAATAGACTGGCAAAACAAAATTCAGAAATTCGATACCAACTTTTAGCTGGTGCCTCAAAACAATACGTAATGATGATCAATGCCTAATGCCAAATTTCCACTAGGCATTAAAATGACAAAAAATATAAGTCATTTAGAAAAATGCCATGTGGAAATGAACATAACGACAATTTTTTAACGTAATGACACGAATACTTTTTAATGCCCAACATTGTCATTTGCCATTTAATACCTAGTGGAAATTCAGCATTAGTAACAGATTACGTATCGGTATGCGAATTCTGTGTGAAGTTTTTTTTTATAGTTACAGAGCTTTTTTCTTAAGGCGTGGATTATCCATGATTCCGACCCAACGCGAAAATAAATATATTTATTTACATTTGTAATAACATTTCACTATACAAATACCCCAGGAGATTTGATGAGATTTTTGATGCTAACCCCATCCAACTTGTTCCACTGTTGCCCAGTGTCAAGTCCGCAATAAAAGTATTAACAGCAGGCAACCTTTCTTTTGCAGCAACAGTGTCACTATCAGACAAATATGCAGGCAGTGAAGGCGAACGGTGGGAGGGCGGGCATACGACCCCTAAACTACGAAACAACATTGCAATGCAAACAAATCTTTCTGTTACCAAGCAAAAAGTTGAGTAGTCGGGCTGAGTTTGCTGTGTGGCGCTGTAGGGTTGGGTTCAGTGAGTGGACTGGGCACCAACGAAAGCAAAATAGTCGAATATTTGCAATTTAACGGTTTTAGACAGTATTGCTGCACACTCACCCAACGACGAAATGCAAAAGTAGTCAACTCAGGTTAAAGCAAAAACTATTGAACCCTATAGGGCAATATTGAAATGGTTAGACAAACATTGTTTTTATATATGTAACTGGCCAAACCCGATCTTAGGACAAACTATTTTTTCCTAGGCTAAACTATGTAGTTCTAGACTTGACTCCGCGTTGGACGCAACAATAATGTGGACTGCGTATCTGGAGTTGGACTGATGAGGGTTATTTTTTTGAAGGCCGCTTACGCGAAAAGAGTTTTGCTCAGAAATACTGCGGAGCCTGATCTAGGGTTTGGCCGGTAACATATACAAGGGTGATGTTTATGGACGTGTGAAGTAGTCTATTCGTGTCTTCCTTTGAAGTAGCTAGTTCACTGGAAGGCTTAGGTGCTAATGCGCCTCTGTTTTAGGATATAACACCTAAGTATGTATGTATAGACATGGTTCCATAAAAATTTCGCATACCTCGCAATGTATTGCTTTTCCTAAAGGGTCATTATCCACAAATACAATTACATAGAAAAAGGAGTTTCTCACACCAACAAAAACTAGTGGGTGGCTTGAATAAATCAAAACGTTTTGGTGTTGCAACACTCCACTTGGGGGTGTTTGACGATGGAGGAATAGTTTTGCTGGTAGGTGTCCTGGGCGGATAGTGCCAAATCCGACGAGTAGGTGCCCACACAATTACACACACACACAGGTATGTTAATGTATTTGTGTAGGTTGTGGCATTTACAGCAAATAAGTAAGTGGCAACTGTTGGTATACTGGTATACACACATTAAGGGCGGCTCGGCTCAGCGTGTAGTTTCTGACGTTGCAATATGGGTTGCCCATGTATGAAGGTATGTGGCATATATGTTTGTGTGTGCGTTTACCTATAGTGGGTTGAGTGAATTGCACGCCGCATTACTATGTACTACGTATGTATGTACATTCATGCCAACAATAGCTTCAGCAGCAGGGCAGTAATGCAATTCTTTGTTGGCGCAGGTCATGGAACTTTGGCGGCAGCAAAAACTATTTACTACCAGTATTTTCTGTCTGCCACAAATACTTATGCATGGTTAGTTACACTTGTGTCCGTATGCGCTTCGTATGTACAAACATATATAAGTATGTACTAAAAGTAGTTGGCAAATATTGTACAAACAGATTTGTTGAAATTGGAAAATGGGAAAAGTTCAAGTGAGTAGCAATGGAAAGTCTATAGCAGCGGAAAATCTGAAAACTAACGAAAGGGGATGCGGTCGGTGCCAATATAAAGGAAGCAGCCGGCGGCTAACATGCCGAATGAATTTCGTATTTATTGCATTTTCCGTTTCAACTCTTTCATAGAAATTGCTGTTCCGAAAACCTATGTTAGGGACACTGAGAGAAATTAAAAATAATAGCGAAAATATAATTGTAATTGAATACGTACTTAAAAAAGGTATAAAGAAATTAAATTAAATTAAAAGTATAATTTAAAAAACTATAAAAATTAATTGACTTAATTTAAAAGATTAGATTTAATTAAAAATAAAGTGAAAACTTTTAAATTAAAAAATAAATAAAAAATTATGCAAACTTAAAAACTAATTAAAAAAGAATAAAGAAACTGAAAAATTTAATCAAATTTCAATTTAAATAAAATTAAAGATTAAAATTAAATAAAAAATTCGTAAATGCCTTGTAGAAAAAATATGAAATAAAATAAAAGTATATACATACATACATACAATAAATGTAAAACTTATCTACATATATAAAATAATGCAAAATATAATACAGAAAATAAAACGATAAAATTAAAGTAAGAAAATTAAAAACTCATTCATATAATAAAATAAAATAAAAATTTAATTGAAAACCATATGAAATAAAATTAAACTATATATAAGGTAATAAATTCTTCTTTTTGTTTTTTTTTTTTTTTGTGAAAAATACTAAACATTAATTATAAAATTTTATAAAACCGAATTAAAAAGAAAATATATAAAACATACATAGAAAAAAGCGACAACAGTTTATATGCCAAGCTTAATTCAGTAGGTAGACTGTCAGCTTTGTACGCCAGAGCTGCTGATTGAAGTCCCAGTGAATTCTATTAAGAAGTCTGATGAGGAGATGTGGTGATCTCAGAAATAGCGGATATAACTTCTACCATGTATACATTTTTATTGTTTTCCACAACATTTTTCATTTTTCAAGCTCAATAAAATTGTTGAATGAAATATAAAAAATAAACAAAACTAAATTATATTAAAAATAAATTAAGAGTTAAGATATAATTTATATATAAAAACTAAACGCACTAAAATATACGAAATATTAATAAAATTAAATTAAATTTAAGTATAAGTGAAATAAAATTATATCAAAGAAAAAAAGTTATATAAACTAAAATGAAACAAATAAAATTATAAATACATATAAAAATTTGTTTAAAAACTAAAAATAATAAATTTATAATGAAATAAAATAAAACTAAAAATAACAAAAATAAGGTGTGATACATAAAATAAAATGATACCAAACATATAATTGCAAATTAAATTAAACAAAAATTTAAATCGGAACATAATATTAAAAAATTTCCTAAAGTTAGATAAGTTAAAAAACATTAAACAATAAATAAGACAAACTAAAGTGAAATAAAAAACTAACAAAATAAAACTATTAAAAACCTTGAAATAAATTTGAAAAAGTGAAAAATGTACTTTGATGTAGTAAAAAGGAAAGAAGATAACATAATTATGTTTATTAAAATAATAATAAAATAATTTTCTGCAAAAATTTCAAAAATTCCTCCAAGGAGCTGATATCAGAGTTAAGTCCATACATAAATATGTAGACATTGCATTTAATGTACAGAATATCCAGTATTTAACTCTCAAAAAAAAAATAATAATTAATTGATTTACCATCAAAGTCTAAAATGTTACCAAGTTCACATCCGTTTTTCTTGCAGTGCTCGCACAAAAACTATTTACTTTCAAAAATAGCAAAATCTTTTCGCAGCACATCCGGTCTGGGCGATTTGTGTGTGCGCTTACAAACCAAAATTGTTTGTTCATTTCGCACAAATTCAACTAAAAGTGCCTTTTTTTATTAAATTTTGCACTACTCCCTCCGCCTTCCAGCGTATATATGTACATACAACACTAACTTTGCCGCTAAAATCGCTTAAACGTATTTCCTGCATATTATCTATGTACACACATAGCTACAAACAATCACACTCACCTCCTGTATCGTATTCTCTGGCTTTTTTGTTGACATATTCAGGAAACGTTCTTGTGTCTGGCAAAATTTTTCTGTCTTCTTATCAAACTTTTTCTTATTCTCCTTAACGCCGCCAATATGTTTCTTACGAAACTCCTCCAGTGGCATAATAATGTGTTGATCCGCCAGCGTCAGCTGTGAAATTGTGCAGAAACGCCATTAGTTTTTGATACTATATGTATTAACTGTGTATGAATGGATGTGTTTAGTTAGTAAAAAGTTTCAGTAAAAACATATGGTTAGTTTTTCCTGCTAATAGATCTCGCACTACTAAATACAAATTTTATGGTTTGTTGCCGCCTGGCTGTAAGCTTATGAAAATATTTCTACACAAATACGAGTTTAAGCGCTTAGTTGGCGTTGGCATTTACTCACCATTTTTTCTCGCTCATCTTCGATGGTTCCAATTATGGCGGCGAAATGTTTCAGACTTTCGCAAATGACATTCTCATCATCTGTTTGCGCTGTGCCAATGCATTCGAAATTGAAATCGTCCAGCAAGTGAGCCAATTGTTTCATGCGGGTTGACAAAACTGCAAGGAAAAAGAGTAAAATATGGGAAATATAATATTTACGTAAGTCAAGTGTAATTTAATTTAAGTAAATATTTTTCAGAAGTACTGGTATCCAACTTTGAAGCGAAGGATGGATAGATACCCAGAAGATGTTGAAATTATTGCACCTCTGCAACTAAATATAATCCTAAAACGCTATAGATCTCCTGCACCCAGAAAAAGTCAGCTGAAAATATTTCTCTCAACACATGATTTGGTAACTTTAACTAAATAATGTAGCTACAATAAAATTACACATGTGCTGAGAGAATTATACTTAGCAGCCGACTTTTCCGTAGTTGGATTGGTACACACAAGCTAAAGATATCTACTCTGATATGTACTTTTTGCGAGTAAAAATGGTTCAACTCGAGAGCTCATAGTAGGTAAATAAGGGGAGTTATAAGTTGAAGTGGTCAGGTGGTTAGTGGCTAGTATACGAAATTTGTTGATCTTAGTCGTCTCAGTGCGCTCAAAATTCGTTACTGATTTCCATTTGAACCACCTTTGGTTCACCCTTGTAGAGGTGGGTTACTCAACTCAGAGCTGAGCTACTAAGTTGACTCCCATCGGTGAATATTCAAAGGTCAACCGAGTTTCTTATACTTGTAAAGCTACGGCTCTCGCTTTTGGTGCGAGTTTTAACAGGTCCTATTCCGATGGAAATTCACGTGACAACACAAAGAGTCACGACAAAAGATTTCACTGCCGCAGTTAACCGAAGGATGATGAAATGGAATCTACGTAACAGGTTCTACTGGCCTGTTAAGCTTTCGTGGTGCCGAAATTGAAGTATTAAGGCTCGAATTGTGTAACCAATTTTGCGTAACTTCGTTTTTGGCTCGCGCAGCACAGTGTGGAATACGAACTTCTTTTGTGACTCAATCGGATATCTCGAGAACAAGAACAGATAGCAAAATAAATGTAACGGTATTTTATAGCTTATAAAGAGCAAAGATAAAATTTAAATATAATTTTGGTCCTGACAGTTCCCAAAAATGTTTCCGATAAAATTTTAAAATTCTCCGAAATTATCCATAAGTTTTGAAATATCCCGGAATAGCCCAGAAAAACGGAAAATAACCCACGAAAAATTCGTATACTTGTAATCCCGTTGTGCCAGAGCCAGGAAAAAATGTCGAAAGGTTTCAAAAATAAACAGATTCTTTCGAAATATCCCAAAAAAAAACCCCAGAGCGCTCGCAAGATTCAAACGAATTTTGACAAAACTGATCCAAAATTCTTTAAAATTTTTGAGAACTGTTTTCGCGGATCTTATGTAATTTTTTCATGTCAGGGATGCTTTTTATATGGAAAAAATGCGCAAAATCGTATGGAAAGAAATGTAAGAATCAAACAGAATTTTACTATACTAATATTAAAGTGGCAATTAAACTGCATATATACCAGAGAATTTTGTAAAAAATTTTAACAAAAAGTTTAAAATTTCAATAAAAACTTCAGAATGTTTTATAAATTTTGTACAAAGTTAGAAACATTTATTTATATAGTCTTTGTTACAGTGTAAACTTTATTTAAAATAAATATGTATTTTTTCTTTGGTTTGTGTGACCACAAACAAGTGTACCTACATACATATACTTTATCGCGATGAAAACGAAGAAGTGGGGACGTAAATCATGCGACCACGATACGTACGAGTATAAGCTTCAGTGAGAGAATTAGCTAAGAATAAATTCATTTGCATTTAGCAACAAAAAAACATTGGAACAACTAAGAAACAAATAGAGCTGTATTACAACCGGAAAAAGCAGACCAGAAAATAGTAAGAATGCAGATCAATTTCTTTTGCCTTTTTTGGCTAAGGTCAGATTAAAAACAGCAATGCGTTATAAATTACTTGCATAAGCGTGAAACTAAAAAAAATATATATCTATTTCAAAGCCGTAGTTTAAGTTTAATGTAAGATATCACAATGAGAAAACGAACAACGAATTGTAGTATGTATGTTTTGGGAGCACAAAATATGTTTTCGTAAATTTAGTTAACTTCGAACCAAAGCGCCAAATTGCAGAATAAACTGTTTGCAGTAAAAGTTTAATAAGCATGTACATATGTAAATTTAATGAAGCATATGTTCATGCATACATACATATGTATAGTACATACATTCAAAAGAAATTTAATTTTATTGCAGTTCTC